TCAAATACTAGTCAATTCCCCAGTGGAAATATGTTTATGTTTTCTGAAAAATTACATACAATATTGTTTATTTTAATGCTTCCGTTTTTATTTTTGATGGATACTGATGTACCATTATGTAGATAGTAATATCAATTGCTAGATGTTATGTTATTTATGTATATATACATACATATCGTTATGTACTTTGCGATTAATTAAGCACTGCTATTTATTTTTGTATACTGATAAATTAGAAGTTTATAGGAAATTGATATTTCATTGCAACATTTTAAGCTAATTTTGAGAGCGTAGCTGCTTTACTTTCGAAAGCATATTGTTTTCTATGATATTCTTATAATATGAAAAACATGCATTTATTATATAAAAAATGGAAACATTAAGTCGGAATTAAAAACTTATTAAAGCGCTCGTTCATGATTTTTAAGTTCCGAAGATAAGGCAATCTTCTTTAAGGAATGATTCATATATTCATGCGTTGAGTTACTTTTCACGTGTATCTGGTGCCTTAAAAACCATGAACAAGGTGTAATTAATAATAAGTTATAAAAGTGCATCGAAGTTGTATAGTTCATTAGAACAGCAAGTTTTATGCATCTAATGCCGCGGCATACATTTTACTAAAAAAATTTATCTTATGTTAAACACGGAAATATGAGATTATATTAGTCTAATATTAATTTTAAATCAGTATTAATTTAATGAGATAAAAATCGTGGAGGAAAAACCTAATAGCAATAAGTAGTATCATTAGACCACTGTGGCCATCTATTTAAAAGATTTATTTATTAATGCGTAAATGAGGAAGAATAGATCACACAGGGAGCAAACATACAAATGATATTGCGAATAATTCGTTCGTCAATTTTTTCATAGAAATTAGCAGTGCAAGAAATTCGTGTTTATATTTACAATATTAAGTTAAAAACATATTCTAAATCATAAAATCTACAGATCAATTATGCTTTTTAAACTTTTTTAATCGTTCTTGCGCCGAAGAATTTTGATATATGAAAGTCTTTGTTATTGCGTTACAAAAATCTATTCTTCTCTTTCTCTATAAAAGTTCTAACGTTACTAATTATGCGAAGTAATTTTCAGAACTAATACCACACTCTGTGCAATTAATCTACCAATTTACAATTATATTTAGAGCAATAAATGTACATTGGATGAAGAAAAAAAGGAATGCTGTTTAGAACACAAACTGCACTTTGTATTAATCATAATACACAATTCCTATCGTTAAGATTTTACGGGAATTTTATCATAATCATCTCAGAAAGTAATGGAAACTGTATACGCTCACAGTTGAATACTTGTATACAGTCTATCGATCGATCTCATTCGACATTTAATTTAATTGTACGGAGATTGACAGATGTTTAATTTGCATTGCACATTTTAAGGGTCTCCAGTTACTCGTAGAAAGTGCCTATACGATTATTATATTATATAATAATATTATATAATACAATAGGAATTATAATTCATTTTCACTAATTGATTCTCCTAGTCTAAATAATAAGAGCGTTACCATTGTCCAAACTTTGAAGAACTTACTATGGTAATTACTATGGAGATATACAGAAATTATTATGGTAATTTAATTGTAATTGAAAGGCACTCTAGGAAAACAAGCATCACTTCATTGTATTGCATTGTTTTCTAGTATCCTGCGTGAGAGAGAATAACGGGTTTTTTTGGTTCTTTATTTAGAAAATGACCACATACGTATGGTAAAACAGAGGAAAGAATAAATAGAACTCACTACTGAATTTAATTACAGATGCATCGCGGTGAGTTTTTATAAACTATAATATTGTTAGCAAGGGCCAAAATAGTTCAGTATGCAAGTACCGAGAAATACTATTTATAGGCGTCCACTTGTTAGATTTGCAAATACCATAAAACTGTATCCAAGAGCATCCAAGTATTGACTCATATCAATACACTCAGAAAGCAATTGTAACTGTGTGTTATTCATTAAGTGCAAGATATGTTACAATGTTCCATAATGGCATTACTGTTTTCTATTATACATATATGTGCATCGC